ATTATGCGGATGCGTGTTACCCAGATCAGTCTCAATATCTTCTCGATAAGTTAGAGCGCCTTCTCAACAATTGCATTAGATTCATTTTCGGCTTACGTAAGTATGACCATATTTCCCAGTACCGATCTAAGTTTAAATGGCTATCTGTTCGTCAAAGGCGTAGCTCCCGAACTTTGCAAGTACTACATTCAATTTTAAATGATCCCAATTCTCCCTCTTATCTTAAGGATAACTTTCAATATTTGTATTCTACTAACGATAGAGTTCCCCGTTCCCAAAATTGTTTTAAAATTCGTATTCCACCACATAGGAGTGGTTTCTATAATTCCTCTTTTATTGTGCAGTCTATACTGCTCTGGAATGCCTTGCCTGTTTATATCAAGAAAATTAATAACAAGAACTATTTTAAAAGACAAGTTCGAGAATTCTGTCGTAAGAATAATATCACCTGACTATCCGACTATTGTTTTTGTGTTTTTTTTCTCTTTCACTTTATAAGTAATATTTTGTATAGTGTATTTTAATATGTATTGTGTTATTTTATTTTTGTCTCATAATATTTTATTTACTTATAGTTTTGTATAGAAGTACCCGTATATATATTTATTATTTATCCTATATTATATATTAAGCAAGTATGTATATTTTACTAACTATATATCTATTCTATTCATTTGCATTTTATTTTGTTTTATATCATTATCATTTATTTATGAAGTGATTGATTACACCTGCCACAGTTTCTCAAATCATCCAGAGTTGACTGGCAGAGAATGCCATAAGGCATTAAGTCCGCCCTTTATATCCCTTAGTATATAAGGTATATAATGAAGATTAAATAAATAAATAAATAAAATTATGCTTGTGCAGACGTGTATTACCCAAATTTACACCAATTTTTTTTTAATTAAGTAGAGCACCTTCTCAACAATTGCATGAGATACATTTTCAATCTCTGTAAACATGAATATATCTCTCACTATCGATCTCGTCTTAAATGGCTAACTATTCTTTCTTATAATTAATATATAATAATTTCTTATAACTATAATAGAATAGTTATATTAGAATAGTTATAAGAAATATAATAATTTCTTATAACCTTCCATTCCATTTACTCCTTCCTATCTCAAGGACAGATTTCGGTATATTTTCTCAACGCATGATAGAACTCTGCGTTCCTCGTCTAATAATAAAATAAGTATCCCATTACATATCACTAGAATCCAGATTTTGTTTAACTCCAAATGGTTGCGCGGAAAACCATTCGTATTTTATTTATATTTGACGGTAGGCTTTCCAAATCGTTTATCCCTTTTCAAACGATAAAATTCATACCCTCCTATCGACACATCGGGGTGGTGGGGTGGGAGGGGAATGAAGATGATTCTAGAATATCACGCGACCATCGCAACCGGAGGAATAAAAGGCGTGCGCGGCCTACGTGCGCCTCTTCCCGTCGCGCTCGTCGTTGGAACCACACCGCTTAAGACAATAGTGTCATAGAAGGGCTATTGCCCACGCGTACCGCTAGTATAACCACTTTAGCCTGGAAGCAGTCGAGCTCCAGGAAACCCGCCTCACCTCGTGTGAGAAATAGTCGCGCACCGCACTCTCTCCCGACGCATCACCGGACAAGAAAGCATCTCTGGGACCCCAGAGAGTCCACCAGAGGTCGCACCGCAGCAACATAGCGCCCAAGCCACATAGAAGCAACACCCCGGTGAGTGAGCATTCTTTACTAGTTCCTGCTTGATATAATTGTGTTTAATAGTTAATTCACTCCAATTTCATTTTCTCCTAATCAAGCAGGATTCCTTTCATAGATTTTGGCAAGCAATAGTTCGTTTTAGGGAAGAGCGAGTGCATTGTATGGGAAACCGCGTGCTATAGTCGCCATTTTGTGTAAACGAAGAAGCATTTCGCATATACAGTCCATTTGGGTTTAACATCTCGCGTAATAGGCTTAAGGCTCGACCGGGGAATTGGACTTCGGTAACCTTAGGCTCGTCACTCCACCATTTTATGGTCCTTCGAGCCGGATTTGGACTGGTGTTCAGTAGTCATTCAACCATTTTCTGGTCAAATTATTAGATTAATTACTTAGATAATGGACTCTAATTTTATGGAATAGACTTTAATAGTGTTCGTTTAGTTTAAAATTAAACTTTGGTTAGTTACTTGCAAATAGAATTAATTATTCATTTTAATAGTATTCGTTTATTTTAAATTTAAACTTTGGTTAGTTACTCGCAAATAGAATTATTAATTTAAATAGTGTTTGTATTTAGTTTATATTTAAAGCTTATTAGTCACTTAAGTAATTGAAACAGTGCAATCACACGCGTTTTGTACGCTTACCTAACATTTTGATAAAAAAAATTGAGTTTAGCGAGCGACACGCGTCATCTCGGTTCGTTGTACAGGTGTTCAATTTAACGACATAATACGGCACGCGTGTCCATCCTCCGGCGTTGTGCGATTAATTGTGATTAATCTAATATTAATTATAACAATTTAAAATGGCAGTTAGTGGAAATGAAATTAAAATTAAAACTCTTTATGCCAAGAGGGACATACTTTTTTCACGTATACTAAGTATTAGTGATCAGCAGTGAGTGAAACTTTTTTAAATGAAATTGAAACGGTGGATTTTTGTGGACGGATTACGAAAGGATATTAGACCAAATTAATAATTTGGAATTACAAGTGATCCGAAATATACAGTGAACTACCAACCGCTTCTAGCATTTGAAGATATGTTGTGTCGCTTGAAAATAACGGCGAAGCTCTTGCAGTCCCTATCTCAAAACGAAGCAAAGCCGGAAGCCCAGGTACGCCCACGTGATTCGATTAGGTTGCCGCCAATAGATATTCCGGTATTCAATGGCGATATTAAGACATGGCCCTTCTTCTTCAGTAGTTTTCAAAACAATATACATAATAACCCATCGTTATCGGACGCTGAAAAATTATATTATTTAATTAGTAAACTTAGTGGCAGGGCACAGTCAATTTGCTCGGGTTTTACACCTACAACAAACAATTATATGTTAATATTCGAAACGCTTAAAACTAAATATGAAGATAGGAGAATGTTAGCTTCCGAATATTTGAACCAGATATTCGATCTTAAACCTATATCATCCGTGAACATCAACGGCTTAGAGCAGTTTTTAGATATATTTGTGGCATCGGTGGCTAAACTTAAGAACTTGAAGTTTAATGACCTTATGGACGTGGTGTTTCTCCATATTGCACTGAAGAAATTAGACTCCGACACCGTGCGTGCGTTTGAAATGGAGCATCGTAGCTCGAAAATGCCTTCCTTTCATTCATTAGCATCGTTTGTGCGGGATCGAATTAAAGTGATGCAGCGCTCCTCGAAAGTTAAACAAGAAATGCGTCGACCGTAGACAGACTCAACCATCTAAAACAGCATGGTCGTTAACGTACGTAACCGCTACTTCGGCACCACTACAGCATTCCTGTATCATATTTAAAGATAAACAACACGGTAATTTATACAATTGTGCGACCTTTCGTAAACATTCACCAAGCGAACGTTATAGAATAGTAAGGACGAATAACTTATGTCTGAATTGTTTAAGCAATAAGCATTTAGATGCAAAATGCAATTCTGGTTCCTCGTGTAACAAGTGCGCCATAAAACATTACACGTTGCTACATTTCAAAAATAGCAACATATCTGCGTCAAGTAAAGCGGACAAGGAATTCACCCCTACTAAAGTCAACGATTCTAGCGGTCGACCTGGTGACGTCACTCTGTGCTCATTGGCAAATATGGGAGCACAACCTTCTTCAACCGTGTAACTGGATTCGCGTGGAAACGAACAAGGCGTCCGTGCACTGCTGGACAGCGGAGCCCAAAATAGCTTTATAACGCGACAATGTTGTCAGCGCTTAGGCTTGGTAATAAATAGGTCACTTTCATGTCCCGTAGTCAAAGGCATCGGAGGTACTAGTAAAGTTACCCAGGGATATATAAATTTAAAATTTTATTCTCGGATAGATCGTAATGTTAACTTTGATATAAATGCACTAGTAGTAGATAAAGTCACTGAACGGCTGCCAAACGTTTCGGTTGAAACTTCGTCATTGATTGAATTTAAAAATTTGACTCTAGCAGACGACACTTACGCCGTTCCCGGAAACATAGACATGCTCATTGGAGCATCGCTTTTCCCTCATCTTTTGTAAAACAATAAGGTCAGGGGCAACTCCTCGCATACCGCGCCTTACGCATCGGAAACCCTCTTGGGCTATGTCATCGTTGGCTCCGCCCCCATCATGGATAGTATTTCGGCAACCTCTTATTGTGGTATGGCTATCGAACCGCTCGAGTCGTTGGTCCGCAAATTTTGGGAGATGGAGGAGGTGAACGTTCCATCTATAGTTATCCCAGATGATACAGTATGCGAGGAAATTTACGTCCGCACGACCGTTCGTGATCGCGACCGTAGATATAGTGTAGCGCTACCCTTTAAAGGAGATGTTTTATCTCTCCGAGATTCGCGTCAAATGTAGTGTATGTGCCTCCACCCTAATAGCATATGTTAATAAATGTACTTACTCTTAGGTTTAAGTGACAGTATAATTAAAGTCTTGAGTAGATAAACACGTCTCCCTTTCATTTACCAACCGTACAACATTACATGGCGACCCTGCCAGGATTCGAACCTGGAATCTTCTGATGCTTCTTGCTTCTGCAAGGCTTCTTGCAAAAGCAGTGGTCGAGGACCCTGCTCCAATAATCGGATATAACATCTGCAATTATCAAGAACATCCTGCAGTAATATACATCATCAGATATGTCTGGAAACTGGAATAATAGCCGCGGTGGAAGCGGTGGTTCCAAATTTGGTAATAAATTCGGTGGCGGTGGCGGAGGAAGATTTGGAGGAAATTCAGGTGGTTTTGGTGGAGGCAAGAAAGAATTTTCTGGTGGACAAAATATGCATCGACCTAACTGGGATACAATGTCTTTACAACCATTCAATAAAAACTTCTATAATCCACCACCGGAAGTATTAAAAAGGTCGCTTTATGAAGTTGAAGAATACAGGAATAAACACGAGATCACTGTAAGTGGGCTGGAAGTACCAAACCCTATTCAGTGTTTCGAAGAAGGTAATTTTCCTGACTATGTAATGCAAAATATTCAAAACATGGGCTACAAGGAACCAACCCCTATACAAGCACAAGGTTGGCCTATAGCAATGTCTGGGAAAAATTTAGTTGGGATAGCTCAGACTGGTTCAGGAAAAACTTTGGTTTACATTTTACCAGCTATTGTGCATATAAATAACCAGCCACCTATTAGACGTGGGGATGGTCCTATTGCACTAGTGCTTGCACGGACTAGAGAACTAGCTCAACAGATTCAACAAGTTGCTAGTGATTTTGGTAATACAGCTTATGTTCGCAACACATGTGTATTTGGTGGCCAGGCGGTGCGCGGCGACGCACGCGCACCGCCGCGGCCTGCACAAATAGTTAAAGAAACATGGAAAAATAAATATAAAACTTAAGGAACAATTTTCAACTATTGAATTGACACTACCGGATGTGACAAGTAAGCCGAAACGGAGACATAAGAAGAGGCGACAAGGTTATTATTTCTTTAAGGAGATATGCTAATAAAACCTATTAGAAAAAGAAGAAAAATGTTACGAAAAAAAACGGGAACGATCAACTTCAGAAACAAATATTATGACAGCTTCAAATATTACATGAAGATTAAACGAATTAGATGGTGAGACCACAAATTTAAGATAGAAGAAACTTCCTGCAAGCCTTAACCGATAAGAAGATAGAAAAATTGAGCCGAAAAGAACAAATTATGTGGTAACTTCGCACCTATGTGATTTTAATTCTATTTCAAACTTTATTTAACAATTTAAGATTGTTTTTTTTTTGCTATTATGTTTTTAAAGTTAGATATTAAATATTCTGTATTTTACATATAATTAAGTTGAAATTAGTTATCAGATTATTCACAATATACTTTATTATCAAATATTTTAATACCTACAAAAAAAAAAACAATTATAATACAGTATTAAAAATTAAGTTGAATTTTAAGCACTTATGTGGCACTTCTATTAAGGCGCCAGACCAGACTTTATATTCTCATTTATGAAGTTATAGTTTTGTATTATTTTTTTACTGTGTCCTGCCAAACAATTAATGAAATAATAAAATAATAGATTCCAATTTTACACACTTGATTTAAAATAACACTGTGATACATTTCGTTGATTTTTTTTTCTCGAATCCAAATTTTAAAGGGTTAGAAACATTTCACTATCATTATAAGTTTTAATTTTTTTTAAAGGCATTAAATCTTAAATTTATATAATAACTTATGTAAAATATAAAAAACTTCCTTTTAAATGTTTGAATAAATTATTGTATCATTGTGTAAAGGTGATAACTCTAATAATGTGATTTTCAATTATTCTGTGTACACGACATAATAAATAACATACTTTCAGTAATATTTTTCGATCTGTATAAAAGCGATATAGCTTTTAACGATGTAACCATGTGGACTTCTGAATAAAAAAGAAATTAAAAATATTAGTTTAAGGTACATTTTTTTTACTCGCACTCATTTATATGAGTACTACTACTTATGTAGTAACAAATTGTACACGTTAAGTTGACATTAGGCACGATCATACGATGCGATTATTTTAACGTTTATTATCAATTATATTTTTCATATTTTCTGGCTAAAATAACACTTTTATTTCTTTTGAAAGACAAGAAACTAGTTAGGTAGGTAAATATAACAAAAGTCATCCTTTACACAGTGAATATAAAAGGTCTGCTAACTATTTCTTACGAATGATACTGATGTTTCCAAAAATATGATATTATAAAATGTTATGCAATGAGCGTATCCTATAAAAACATGGTAACATAGATGATAAATTTAAACTGAACACAGCAACATGCAACACATTAACAGGTGTAGGATAAACCATAACAACATCGTAATAGCGATAAAAATAATAAGTATAGGAAAATAAATGAGTAAATGGTAATAGTATTGTTACAGAGATGAAAATAATAAATAAATAACAGTGTAAACAGGAATAAAATAGTTAAGAGAGGTTTTAATAATAATGGTTCAAAAAAAAAAAGTTAAACACCGACAAAGAAAATTTATTGATAAGAATGTTATCTCATTTGTACAAAAATTAGAAAGCATGTAATTGGTATGAGGAACGGAAGAATGTTCGAACGTGTAAATTATACGAATGATTTAGTTACTAAGTTTTGTCAATATTGGACTGATCACCCAAATATTGATGATACTTAAACTGTGTGACTTGAAATGTGTGAGAATGATGCAAGTTAGTATATAGAAGTGGGACACGAAAGTATATAAATAAAGAACAAGGTAATGAAGAAATAAAGAAGGAATAAATATTTATGGCAATAATAAAAATAAATAAAAATATGACAGTGACCAATAAGTAATGGAGAGATATGGGAACGTTCAACACTGGTATAGCGTATAGTCCTCGAGCAGGGTACGTTTCCGTGATTGGACGATGAAATCGGAGTAACGGGTACTAGGGAACAATGCCTTCAGCACAAGTGATGTAACTGAGTTTACTCATATTAGTACTGTTAGGGACCAGAGAAGTCTTAAATTTGTTACCCTTAATAATGGTACATTGAGGTCACATCCTTCGTTGGACCATGGTGCGAACGTAGTTTTCCTCAGTGACAATTGTTGGAGTCCTTTGAAAATGACTTAAACGTAGACCTCAAGGTTGTGCGCACAACCCAAGGTACATTTTACCTTGATATAAAATAAAAATAAAATATGTACCAATAAAATGAAATGAATGTTACGAAAGTGTAATATAATACCCAAATAAATGGGGGGGCCCATATTATAAAGTACCCGCGTGATAAATATCACGAAATAAAATATAAATGAAATGAAATAATACTCCGATTCCCGGTATCTAATAAATAAATAAATATATAAGTGAATAGAGAGAAATAGAGCTAGCTAAAGGTAAAAAATATTAAGAAAAAAAAAGAAAGTACGTACAAGAATTATGGAAAAAAGGCCTAATAATTGATGACAATACAGGATAATAAGGGGATCCCCGAGCAAATTAAAAAGTGTGATAAATGTATGATAATCTAATAGTGGATAGATGGTTATTTTGCATTTCTATATTAGGACTATTAACGCTACCCAAAATGCTACTAGCAAGTTGCACATATAACAGCTATAGGGTTCGATTCGCACAACTACACGTAAACAAATAAAAATATATCAACCCAATATGATAAGTACACTTTCGCGTAAATTTATATAAATTTACGAGATTTTTTCATATTTAGGCACATTGATTCGTATTTACAATGATTCTACTTTAAATAATTTTTTTTCTGTCTCATGTTTTCTTATGTAAAATGTGTACAATTTTGAACTACATTTATATAAAGCTTATTATAATCAAGTCCAAAGGTTATCGATACACTATTATTGTAAATTGTATAATGTAATCGTTTTTTTTTCTATAAAAAAAGGCAACGAAAACCTAAAATTGTGTCACCTGCTTGAAATAAAATTGGCTTTTCCAATGTAAATAAATATTTTGTAAAAAAAACAAAATCCTTTAGCTGTGTACCTAACAGTGTATTCTCTTTTTATATAAATTTCTGTCCCAATTAAGATAAACGTATTTCTTAGAAGTAAAAGTAATATTTTATTATTAACAATGCAACTATTTTTAAATATCTGTTCCAACTTTTAAGGTATATTTTACTTGCATTCATATTATAACATATTATGGAAGTTACTTAATGTTAGGTATGAATCACCACACCTTGTGATCATAGTCCGATGTAATTGCAAACGTAGCCTTATACGTACCTACCTACTTAGAAATTTAAAACGTAGGTGTCACAAACCGCTTACGCGACTGGGATTGCAAGTTGTATTTTGATTCCCGTTATTGCTGATAGCGATGATATTTGCGTTGCATTACATTATGTTTTTTGCTCTTTTCATATTTAAATGAAATGTAATATTATCGGTGTTATATTCATTAAACCTTCAAATCACATGCTTTAACTTTTATAAGTCATTAATTTCTGAAAATATAGTAGAATATTAATGTCTAACCTATTTGTGTGGATCATGAAAGCAATAGTTAAACAAATATAAAGGTATAAATAAATTAAATATAAAGTATATACAATTATGAATGCAAATGTGAATAAATATATATAAAGGTAGAGCAGGTACTGCTTAATATGAAATGTAATAGTTTATTTTTCAGTTTTATATTGTTTGAACTTTTAAATCATAACTTCTAACTAGAACATATAGTTAATGTTATAAATCTCGAGTGAAAATAAATGTAAAAAAAAATATATTAATAAGTATATGGTATGATAGGTGGTATGTTCATGTTAACGTGCAGTTGTGACATTGATTAATATCAAAAATACGACAGGCTTAATGCCGTACGAAATAAAAATGTTAACGAAATAAAATCGCATGCGTATCACGGATTGACTTAATAATATGATTATGTATAACCATGGTATAATCTGATCATGATCATGAGATTATAATTTTTTTTAAATGAAGTTAGTTTTATATTTTGTTTAACTACGTTATTTTATTCCAATTAGAAATTATATACATTTAAAGCCTATGTAACATTGTATTTTATTTTAATCTTCAATATTAAAAGATTAAAAATAAATATTAAAAATTATTCAATATTAAAATTATTATTATGTTATAAGATTCATGAAAACTAAAATGTAAAAAAAAAGTAAATAGAGAACTTTCCTTTTTTTTTAAGTATCGGGGGAGGTGTAGTGTATGTGCCTCCACCCTAATAGCATATGTTAATAAATGTACTTACTCTTAGGTTTAAGTGACAGTATAATTAAAGTCTTGAGTAGATAAACACGTCTCCCTTTCGTTTACCAACCGTACAACATTACACAAATGTCGAAAAAACGTTTCTACAGCTTGGAGCGTAGGATGCTCGCTTTACCCCAGTTAAAAGAAGCTTATGACGGCGTCACTAACGAATATATAAGGGAAGGTTACATATCACTTGTGGATTCGAAATTAGATAACTACGAAGACACACCGTCGTATTTCATACCACATCAAGGGGTCATTAGGGAGGACAAACTTACATCTAAGTTATGTGTAGTGCTCGACGCTAGTGCTAAAACTAGCACTCACCTGTCGCTTAAAAATATCCTCTATAGTGGGCAAAGTTTATAGGGCAGTTTTTTTAATATAATAGCCAATTTTCGTTTGTTTAGTATAGCACTATCCGCCGATATTCGCCAAATGTTTCTTTGCATAGGGTCCGTGAATGCGACCGTAGATTCCAACGCATTTTATATAGTTTCAACCCAAAGGAACCTCTAATGGTGTTTGAATTTAACCGCGTTTGCTTTGGTTTAAAGTCGAGCCCATTTCATGCGTTACGCACGGTGAGACAGATCGCCCACGATGAAG